AGCAGCGAGCCGTGACATCTATATATCGGCACAATGTCGTTCAGCAGTTTAAAAAAAAATTCTTCTTTAAAAAATTCAAGATAAATTTTTTGAAAAGTAAAAAAATTTGGTTTTCGATGTCAAAATATAACTTTTTATAAAGAACAATGTCAAAGTCGTAATCAACACGAAAAACTGTACCTATTAATGTATTTAGATCAGTTCAACCCGATAAAAAGAAATTTTCAAAACTTGATCACTGAATTGTTGCGTTACGTCGACAAGCCGCTATACACATATTTCGATAGCGATATTTGACTGAAAAAAAATCACGAAATATGAACCTTCTCATTACTTATGTTATACTAGCTATTATAACCTTGAAGCATAAGATGATACCGTATGAAATCTCAAATTTCTTCATAATTCAAGCACATATATTATCAATATTTGATCAACAGTGAAGCTATGAGTAAGACATAATTTTCTCAATATTAAATTACTATACGACGAAAGACACGCACAAAAAAAAAACCTTCATCGGTGTGTTTGTTGATTGCATATCCAGTTTGAAATGTATTAGACCCATTTATCATGAATAAAGAAGAAGGTACGTAGCATATGTGATAAAATCAATTTCGCTGCAGAATAAAACAAAACAGATAGTGAATGTTGTTTGCAATACTTACTAAAATAAAAGATTTTCCATATCATTTGAAAGTTCCATTGGAATTTCATTTGAGAAGGTATAACAATAAATTTGTTTTCTACCACGTATATTCACACTTCCTTTCATATAGCTCGATTATTGTCAGAGAATATCTTGTTGCTATTATATATCATTGCAACTCTCAACTCATAACAGCAGCCTGAGAATTCTATAAACACTTTGAAAATATCAGAGTATTTCTTTACTGTCGTATTCGAGACTATGAATGTCTCTCGCAAAGCGAGGTTACAGCAAAATTTCTTTGTCGATGTTTTATATACCATGTAATAGAGAATTTCAAGGCGAGCAAGAATATGTGTTTTCTAAGTTTTCTTTTGAGGCTTTCTTCCATTAGAAAAATCGGAAAAACTCGAAGGGCGCAAAAAAAGCTCGGTTTTTCTCCGATTTCTATAAAACTGAGTTTTCCAAGTTTTATGCCAAGTTGGATTATTAAAACTTCCATATTATTCTTGTTCAGCTTTGAAAACTGATTTAGAAAATGGCCTGAAAATCCTTTCAAATATAAACATCTATCCATCAAGATAGTCGAAAACAAAGCAACCAAAATTTCGCCACCCATTCTTGCAAAGGACAGGGACCCATAAGAACGTGACTTGGTACATAGAACTTTTAAAACTGAACTCATCATAATCATATATAGGATGCAAGAACTTTTTACAGCGAGTACTTTGATACCCGATTCAAGCTACCCTTCTAGTATATTTAAGGATTTCCACAATCATACATTCATCATTTGAGTGAGTCTTTGTGATCAATCTTTCACATATAAAATCAGAAGAAGCCAGGTTCTACTATAGCTAATTCGATAGCAGTTTTCACGGGCTACAAAACCATATTGTTTATATAATTGTCAAAGGTAGGCGAAAAAAAAAGTTAAAGACCATACTTTGAAAATGTTGTCAATTTTTCATCTGATAGAAGATGATTGACTTATAATATCTCCGAGAATCAATGAAATCTGGCTTCTGTCTCAAATTGTTGGATGACCCTTTTGGTGAACAATAAAACCTTATTATTTTTACAATCAGAAAAGTAAAATCGTTATGATGAACTAGGCACATATTATGTTAGTAGATTTCTAAGAAATATGTTGCTCCGTCCATACCATTCTTGGCAACGGTGAAATAGGATTTTGTATGTGATTGAAGATTCATATCACTATCGGCGTGTAGGCTCTTGGAATTCTATTAGATGATTGCCATAGGACTATTAGCTTCGTTACAGTAGTAGCCGTACGACTTATAGACACCTTATATTGTCCTATCTAAAAAGACAACCGAAGAAATGTCACCCCATTTGCACGATTCCGAAAAAAAAACATGAAATAGAAGATTCTTGGTCAAGTGTGATAGAAATCTACTAATAATTCGCCGATCAGGAATTTGATGCTGAACAGTTATTTATTATTGTAGAGAAAATAAGAAACGAAGGAAAATGAGTACCAATGGAACCATGGTGAAAAATCAACATGAAGTGGTAGTAATATTTTCTTTTTACCGATGGCTATTCGCCATGATGCATAGGAACAGAGAACGCTGTGCACTGTACAGAAGGAAAGAAAGAAGAAAATTGCAGAGCTGCATTGCAACTCGAAGAAATGGTATACGAAAAAAGCGAAAAAAACAACGATTAAGAGCAATGCTACATGGATAACAGCATTCTTAGTCTGTTAAAGTTAGTCATAAGGATGTGTTGCTGTTAATTTGAAAAACAAGCATATATATTTACGAAAGAATTCTAGTGCTTAATAGTACATATTGAAGCATGCCTTGAAAACAAAAAGTTCAAGGCTGTGTACACCAAGATAGCTTTCGTGCAAGTATTCATAAGTATTCAGCCACCTCAACACTTCTTTTGAGAAAATATATCGCAGTGAAGACAAAGCGCTTTAAAACGGGGTGGGTGTGGGGCATGTGTGCTCATGTTGATACTTTCTTCAGACATACCTCAGACCCACACCCACCCCTATCCCCACCCCAAGGAGGGAAAAAGCAGATTTTAGCATTCAAAATCTCTGAAAATCTTCAAAATCTTTTAAAATCTTTCGAAATCTATCAAAATGTCTAAAATCTTTTAAAATCTTTTGAAATCTTTCAGAATCTCTCAAAATCTATTAAAATCTTTTAAAACCTTAATATTAGAGGCGGGTAGGGGTAGGAAGTTACCGTTACCGAGCCGTTACTCTTATCAGATAATTGGTAACGGTATCCTTAGGGTCACAAGTCCTGCTATAGAGGATACCCTTGGGTCCTCCAGTCCTATACTAAGGGGGTACCCCTGGGTCCTCAAGTCCCATACTAAGAGGGGTCCCCTTGGGTCCTCTTGTCCAAAACTAGACAATAACCTTCGATCCTCTAGTCGTTTACTCGAGAGTACTATAGATCCAATCTTACTGTTACCGTTACCAGGTAGCTGGTAACGAGGCAGTTTTCTCATTTCAGGGTAACGATATGGACGGTAACTTGTCCATTACTCGGTGACTGTAACAATTTGGTCCCTTCAACTTCCCCAACTCCCGGGTACCTTTAATTCTACATGGACTATAATATAGAGGAGGCGATTAGTCATGAATGGCAATCTGAGGGGTACGGCTATGGCCTCATGGACTCTCGTATACAGGTTTCTGAAGTCTTTAAAGCTGTTTCTGAACGATGGTCCAATAGTTTTGGAGTGCCCCTTGAAAGAAGAAGTTGGATTTGCCGAGATGCTATCAGATTGAGTGCCGATAGTTTCTGAAGCGGTTACGGATACAGAGAAGTGGTGTAGCCTAAACTTTTTCCTACCAATAAGTGTCCGAGAAGAGTTACTATTAGCTTAGGAGGTAACTGGGCATGGGATAAAGGAAAATCTGACACCTGCATTGTTCATCGTAGGGATGGGTTTTTGAGGAAATAACGGAATTTTATAAAGGCTGCCGAGTCTAAATCGGCATCGGGAAAGTGGAGCCTAGGGTTAGCATCTCAGAACTCTGAAGTCGATTTCATCGATCGAAGAGACGGGTTTTCCGACGGATTGGAGATCGGTCATAAATTTTTGTATCGATGATTTGAAAGTATGACTGGTAAGTGAAATCTGATTTCGTTTATTACTCAGAAGTGAAGAATTTCACGTGACGTCGTTTTCGCTGTTTTGTTGAAAATGAGGTTTTAGTGTTGAATAGGAAAACGACACTTACGTACTTTGAAGTTGTAATACGATACGGTTCTGTTAGCATGGAAAACTGTATTTGACTTGATCGGTTATGGTCAGATAACTAATTGGCTAACGTGCAAATAGGTTCGGCTCATGTGCGTACCAGAGGAAACGATAGTGGTGAAGCCAACTTTGCTTGCGTGGACTGTTCGTTTCTCCTTTGTTAGTTGGTATTCCTGAGCTGCGAAGATGCACGAATTATTCAATTTTTCTTGTATTTGTGTCTACGGATTGATTGAATAACCACATTCATGAAGAAGGCGGAGCTTATGGGAAGTAGGGTGTGGG